CCGCCACCCCCAAGGGATGTGGATGACCCACAGGGTGTGTGGAATATTTTTTTTTTCCTGTGCCTGCTTGTCTGAGTGGCTCTAACCTGTAAAGCTATCCTGGAACAGATGGGTTTGATCAATGTCTTTGTTCATTGACTGAGCACCTATGGTCAGCACTCTGCTAAGCCCTGGGAACATAGCAAGAAGTTCAGATTCTAGTGCTGGAGAGGTAGCTCAGCAGTTAAGAGTTCTTCCTGTGCTTCCAAAGGACCCAGGTTCGGGTCCCAGCACCCTCTGTGGGCTGGCCACAATCACCTGTAACCCCAGCTTCAGGGGTCTGACATTCTCTTCTGGCCTCTGTGGGCACCAGACACGCCGAAGGTACACACGAAAGCAAGCATTAATATAGAGAAAATAAAATCAATGAATCTAAAACTAAATCTTAAAAATGAAAGATACCAGTACGTGAATTGAAAGTGAGGCAAGTTTGAGATGAGCAAGGGCTGACCACCTAGATGGTGGAAGGTCTTGTAGACCACTGTGAAGAAAGCATATTGTGTTCCAAGAGAGAGAGAGAGTCATCCTTCTGGCTCCTTCTTAGAGCATTCCACACCCACAGCAAATCCCATCATCCCAAACCCCCATACAACAGTTAACAACGGTCTCCATCCATTATGCAGGTCCTGGGGATAGAACTGGGGACTTCAGGCTCAGCTTGCCATCTCTCCAGTCCTACTTTAAAATATATATATTTAATGAATTCTGTGGCCATTCCCACATGCCCACTCATGGGGCTACCACAGTTCATGGGGCTGGTGGGGGGTCAGAGGACAACTTACTGGAGGAGGTTCTCTCCCACCACGTGAGTCCCAGAAACAGAACTCAGGTCATCAGGCTTTGGTGGCAAAGGCTTTTACCCACTGAGCCATCTCACTGGCCCTCCTTTTTACCTTTTATTCCATATAGGGTCTCACTAAGTTGACCAGGCTGGTCTTGAACTCACACTGTAGCCTAAGCAGGCTTTGAATTCATTATTTATCTCTTGTGCACGCTACAATTACAGGTCTATACTACCAGGCCCAGGAAATACCTTTTCTTTTGGATGTTTATCATCCCTATTATAATATATGTGTATATGTATAATATAATATTTAGTTCACTCTCTGCCTCCAGTCAGTAGAACACTGGTTCTCAGGGGGCAGGGGTAGCTTGTGCCTTTAATCCCAGCACTCAGGAAGCAAAGGCAGGTAGATCTCTGAATTCAAGGCCTGCCTGTTCTACAGAGCAAGTTCCAGGACAGCCAGGGCCACACAGAGAAACCTTGCCCATTTACAGCAGTGTCTTCACTGCCTGAATGAATGAATGAATGAATAAAATTCCCAATTGGTCCCCTATTCCACTGCCCTCTTCCCTGTGCATCTCTGAGGCACAAGCCCAGCACCCAGCAGACAGAAGGTGACCAGCTGTGCTCTGCCACACACCTGGGCAGCCTGAGTTGAAGGCAGGTTGGGGGCTTCTGGGCTAGGGAGGTCACCCTGTGGAGAGCCCCAGGCAGAGAGAAGGGAGTTTAATAGGTAGCTCTCAGGATGCTGGGGCAGGAGGAGCAGGAATTCAAGGCCTGCTTTGGCTGCATAGCAAGTTGGAGAAATATATCCTGGCAGGGAGCAGAATATAAATAGGTATCTTTACTTATCCCCAGAGTATTATGGGATGGCCCTAAGGAGCCCCTGAGCTAGCTGCCTGAAAGCGATGTGTTCTGTGTTTCTGGCTGACCTGTGTATGGATACTTTTAAACCTGTCCCCTTGATCCTGATCACTGGATAAAGTCTGCATCCTGATCTCTTTCATCCTTGATGCCTGATCATTCTGTCACTCAAGTGCTGGGGACCGATGCTATTTTTATTTGTATTATTGTTTGTTTGTGCTTCTGTTTTTTGAGACAGGATTTCTCTGTTTAGCCCTGGCTGTCCTGGAACTAACTCACTCTGTAGACCAGGCTGCCCTCGAACTCCGGGATCTGACTGCCTCTGCCCCTGTCTATGTCTGAGTGCTGAGCTTAAAAGTGTTTTAAACCTTTGGCCATTTCTCTTCAATCAGGAATCGAAAGAACTGGCCACCAGAGGGCACTGTGGCCCAGCCTTTGTCCCGCAGAGTCAGTTCTTGTGTGGCATGGAGAAGCCAC